CAGACGGACGGACCGTCGGAGGAAGGGGAGGAGATGTGCATGAGTTACTGACATCAGGTCAGCGGTGGAATTACTACAACATCTATCTACAAGGCTGATTACATCTCACTTACACACACACTCCTCTCTCTATGATGCCAATGTGGCAGTCGCAGGGTGACTACGGCAAGCCGGAGGGGACGTGTTTTATTCAGGGATAATCAGTATTTTGTGACTAAACCCAACTGGAAAAGATTCAATTGGTGTAATTAAAAGTGAATTTCATCTGTTAAAAAGAGGTGATCAAACTGAACACGCTGTTTGATGACGTTACACTCAAACCAAAGAGCAGTCGCCCCCTGTTGGTCACCCGGAAGGCTGAAGTAACTGGAGTCGGATCATCTCGTTCCTCCGGGTAAATAAATCTCTGAGTGAAAGTTACACCACCAGGACTCATAGTTACACATCTGCTGCCTCTGCAGACCAGGGGAGATGAGTAGGAGGCAGTCTAACAACGTGCGCACAGCCCTCTGCGTGACCCGGCCTCATTAAGAGAGATCGTCTGGGGTCACATCTGAGCTCGCTGATTGGCTCGTCGGTGTTGGAAGCATGTTCAGCTCGGGAACATCAGGCAGCCGTCAGCGCTGACGAGGCGCTTCTCGCCGACCCGATAAACTACCGACACCAGACTTTTGTTCATGTGCGTAACACACACTGTAAAAATAGATCTAACTTTACATTTTTACAGTAGTTTTCCTGTTTTTTTAAATGATGTACAAAACTTTGAAAAAATAAAGATATTATCTGTAAATTAACAGTCCAACTGTTTAATTAAATTTTATTATGCTAATAATGACAAATTACGTTGTGTTCTCATTTTTTTATTTACTGTTTTCTTAAATTACATTCAAATCATGTAAAATAACGATATTAATGTCTTTATATAAAGGTTTATGTCCATACTAACAAAGGTAAATCATGTTATTTTTATATTAATGTGTATTTTATATTCAGACTGATTCTGGATCTCAATTTATCTAACTTTTTTCATTACATCAAACATAATGGAGTCTCTTATAAAAGTAGAATCAAGAATGATACATTATAAATCTGAGAGCAACATGAGGCAACTGCGGACCGTGGTCCTGTATAGTGTCCCCGAGGACCTACACTGTAAAAGAAAAGAACGTAAAGAAACGGTCAAATGACTGGCAGCAGCGGCTGTCAAACTAAAACGGTAAAATTAAGGGTAAATAACTTAATTCAAATGAAGTGCGAAAAACACTGTAGAACTTTAAGCGATATCCCTGTATTGAAAAGGTTTGATCTGTAAAAATAACAGTTTTTCCCCTGCAGAATATTTAGTGATATCACTTTATTAAAGGTGTTTCATTGTAATACTACAGGACAAATCTATAAAATAAATGTTTTTCTTTGTAGAATTGTTAAGGAAAATTCCTGTCAATTTATGGTTTTCGCACTTCATTTGAATTAAGTTATTTTACATTTTTTGTTTTGTTTACAACCACACACACACACACACACACACACACACACACACACTGCTGCTCATTTACACTCCTGTTGTCATCAGCAAACAGGATGGGATGTCAGCGAGAGAGAGACATCTGGAGCTGGTCTGCATCCACACCTGAATCCAAACATCCAACTTGTTTTTAGAAAAACAGTCTCTTAGGAGCTCAGAATTCATTGTTTTTAACAGAACGTAGTTAAAATAAATAGTTTTATTTTGAGCGTTTTTGATGAAATAACATGGGGATAACATCGACGCTTAGACAGGGCGAATGGTGTGAAGTGTTTTCTTCTGCAGAGTTAAGGTTAGCAGCCCGTAGCGTAGCCGCGCCTCAGTGGAGGAGCGAAGCTAAGCTTGCTAGCATTGTTGCTAGCATCCGTCTCCCCTGGCTGGGATTAAAGTTCCACCAGCACCGTTAGCTTTGAGTTAAATTAGCCGTACTCCAGGATGATATGCAAAGGCCCACAAACCAGATGTCGCTATCTGGATAGAGATCCGAGGTGAATGCTGGGAGACGAGGGGGGAGGAAGGAAGGAGGTAAGGAAGGAAGACAGAAAGAGGGATCTGCAGAAGAGAACAGTAAAGTAAGCGCTGCCTCCTCTTAACATTTCTCTTCTCTCCATCCATGTGAATCCTCTGACTCCTCCACCCACACTGTAGAACAACACCACCCTCTCCCTGCTCATTACCACAACTGCTCTCCACCAGTCTTCCCATCAGTGCCATCAAGATGACATCACCGACTGATGGCTGATGGCGGTCACGGCTCCGACACGCGACGCCGTCATCTAAAGCTTTTCCTAAATCACCAGCAGCATCCTGCATCTGTTCTACATATGATTACGTACATCTGGGGGCGAACTGCAGACGGCCTTTTGAACATTGCGTTGTTTCTTAGATGCGGTCAACAGAAGCGGCGGTACGCGCGGTGTGCAGTCATTGTCATCCTGAGCTGTCGCCGAGCACTGAGTGAGCGGACGGCGCGTTTCCTTCGTCTTCACTCCTGAATCTTTAATGAGAACGTTTTGGATCATACCGGCGGTTTGAATTTTTTATTAAACATCACTTAAGATGTGTAATGCAAGTTCAGGCTGCCGTGTCTGCGGTTGACACTTGAAGTGGTGAGTTCATGTGCTGTGGACTCTGCAGCCACGTCGAGTTCTTCAGTGCATTGATTTTGTTAAAAACACTAAACATAGAATTTTTGTACCAATAGCAGCGAATGCCTAAAATGTGCAGAACCTGCAGCTCTCTAAAAAAACAGTTTTTCAGAACGTTAGCATTGAGATGCTACCGAAGTATCGGTTTCTGCAGCACTTCGACGTGCAAGTAGCGAATTAGCTGGCTCATTAGCTCTCTGGCTACTAGCCTCCAACACTAGAGCGGCAAACAGAACCGACATTTCTATAACCGCAAAATAAAAAGAAAAAAGGTAAAATGGCAACGATGAGAGAACTACAAACTACAGAGCGAAGACTCGATGTTCAACAAACATGGCGTTGGATCCAGCTGATGGGCACAGTTTGTGCATAAAGTTTTGCATGTGTCACATTGCAATACGGCTCCCATATGTTAAATATCTGTGCGACAGAAGTCTGAGACTCAACTCTTCGCCTCCTCCTTCGTGTCCTACACCCTTTACCGCCTCCTTGTCTTTATTTACTGCTTCCACCTGCAAGGTAAATCAGTTTGAGGATGTTTCGCACTCTGCTGCATCATGACCAACAGAAAACCAGTGAGAAACTGGTGCGGGCTGCTCTGCAACACGGCGTCATGCCTCCGTTCTAAAATCTGCCCCGGTGCAGCGTGCAGTCACAGGAGGCAGCGAGCAGCCCGATCGTGTGCTCTGATTTCATAACCAATCAGCCTTATCTTCACTGCTGTCAGGCTCCCTCGGGGGCTTTCTGCCTGGTACATCACTTGCAAGCTGTAGGTCAGCTTTTTCTCACGATATCAGCTGTACCTGAACGTCCCGTGACTCAGGGCTCAGAGGAATTTCTATTTTTTCTTTCCTGCACTCTTGATTCCTCAAGAGCCCCAGATGAACGCAGATCTGAGTCGACTCCGAGTCGCACTCTGTGCATGATCCATTTGACTCTTTGGCTGTACGTATGAGAGCGTGTTACTACAGAATCTGTCTGCATGAGTCATCTCTGCGGGTCGGTCCCGTAAGTTCTCGCCTCTCGCTCTGCGGGTTTGTTTTGTCACTGAAGAAGAGTCGATGCCCCACGCCCCCCCAACCGCGCAGTGCAAGGTCAGAACCTTCTGCAACGCCGGTGTTGTCCTTTAAAAAAAAGACCTGGTTTTCTACAGTTGCATAGCAACAGCCAGCTTCCCACGGACGACGGCTCAGTGTTCCCGGGCTACGAAAGGAGCTGCCTGCTGCATGTGTGGGACAAGTGCAACTCTTAACACCCCACGTTGCCCACAGCACCGCACGGCCGCGTGCACGGAAATGACAGCGCGTCCCCGCCGTCCTCCGTGCTTCTCGATAAAATGCTCCGAAGGCAGCGTTGCCAGGCAACAAACTCAATTCCAGGCTGCGAACATGATTTCTTATTGAAAATATATATTCAGCGGCAAAATGACAACAGAAGAAGAGCATGAAGGGAACTGCCGAGCGTCCTGCTAAGTGGTTACCATGGTGATTAGTACAGCCAACACAACTGTTTTCTCTATGGTAGCAGAGAGAACACCCAACCCCATCGCTTGGAAAAAATATCCATTACATAACACGCTTCAGTCAGCGCTTCGCCAATTGCCAGTACCAGCGATGCTCGTCTGTCTTGGGAGTCTCATGCACTCCTGGATTAGCTGATAGAGGGATGCATATTAATCGACCTTGCACGCCCACCAATCACAGCACAGAGAGAAAGTACAAGGGCATTGGCTGCCTCCTCTCCTTCGGAGGAGAAGCCCTTCAACCAGTCACCTCTCCTATGTGTGTTTGAGTCCAAGACGCTTTGCCTTAAACTCTGTTGCTATCAAGCAAACAGATGCTTTCAGGTGGAATTGAACAGGTGGGCACATATTTCTTGGCTTGCAGGAAACCTGCTCGAGAAAAGCTGCAAAGTTAGTTGCGATCAAAGTCAAAGATTTCCATGAGTGTTGGCAGAACTGAGCGGGGGGCCGGGGGGGCCAGTTTGTGATGTCATATTAGGGCTAATCGTAGAGGCAAACACGTTGGAAAAGGCCAAACTTAACCCTTCGATGCCTCCTCAATATAATTGAGCCGTATTCAATATGCCATCCTTTGTCATTTTATTGCTTATGAAAATAGTTTCATATATAATATATCATAACATTTCACAGCATTACAAGGACGATTCTGAGGTATAAACTCAGAAATCAAGTTGTTGCCAGCAAGAAGTTGCCAACCAAAAGTTTCAAGGGTAAATTTTGATCATTTAATCCCACAATCCATCATGTTCACCTTGTGAAATCTTTGGCTTTGGTTGTAGTAAGTATACCGTAAACTCAAACTTACGATTTCTGGTGGTGCAGGGTGTGGGCATGGTGGTTGTTGGAGGAATTGGCTCTGTGCAGTCGCTCAAGCCTCTCCTTCTCTTTCTCCACAAAGTTGGTGTTGGTGCCGGTGCTGGTGGACGGCATTCGGGTCAGCCGGCTGTGAGTTCGCGGCTGATCCCTTGGCGGGATCGGAGGAGGCGGAGGTGGAACCGGGGTCGGGGAGGAGATCGGAGCTGGGATCTGGGTGGGTATCGAGATGGAGGTTGGGACGGAAGTCGGTATTGCTGTTGTACTGGTGCTGTTGGAGCTGTTGTAGTGGTGGCTGGAGGAGGAGTGGTGGTGGTGCTGATGGTACTGGTGGTGGTGGCTGTGGTGGAGGGGGATGGAAGAAGGAGGCTGGGGCGGAGCTTGGTATTGGCTGTTGTGGTGGTGGTGTTGGTGGTGGGGATTCTTGGCAGTAATGGATGTTGACGTGGTCTGAGTTGGTGGAGGCGGAGGAGGAGGAGGAGGAGGGAGAGGAGGCTCGGGAGAAGGAGCCGGCGGAGGAGGAGCAACGGGTTGCCGGTCCAAACGCAGGTCCTTGTTCTCCTGGCTGAGCCGGTCCAGCTGGACCTCCAGCTCCTCGATTCGATGCCGCTGGGTTTCCAGAAGCTTCTGCTGGCTCTCGATGATGTTGTTGAGTTCAAGAAGGTACTCCACGGCCCGGTTCGGGCTTTCGGGGTTGCCCTGGCCTGGGCTTTGATTAGCATCCATGACTTTTCAGGTCTGAAAAGGGTGCAAAGGGAAGGCTCAATAGCAGCTGGGAAAAGACCCAGGGACCGTGGTTCACTAGTGCTTAACTGATGTCTAGTGAGCCTGAATGCTGTTGTTGTTCCAGTTGGTTGGATCCAGGTTGTACACTGAGGCTTAAAGCTGAACTTCTGCAGTAGATGAAATGTGGCCTGAGTCAGACTATGCCCTCTACCGTCTAGTCTACAACCTTAGACCTAATGTCTAAATAATTACGAAAGAAAACCCTATGGCGCTTAGCCCTACACCTTCAAAACTAAACACACCCTCCCCCCCACCAGAGGTAAGTGGGGGGGAGAGGACTTTTTCTTCTTTGAGGGCTGATTTGAAGATCAAGATGGACCTCGTCCTTGCTTGCTCCTATCAGAGAGCTTTATAGAGTTGTCCACCATCCCCTGGTTCAGTCAGCTGTTTCGTTTGGGCTTCAGACCCATGACGGTTAAAAATAAACCGAACCGATGAAGCGAGACAGAGAGATTCTCTTCCCCTCTCAACCAAAAGCGTTGTCTCTCTGTTCGTCAGTGCGTCAATTGTATCCACTCTTTGCACTCCATGCAGGAGATCAGAACATTGGTTTCCAAGAAGCAGGTGTGAAGACCAGCAGCGCTGACGGAGACGTTGTTTGTCCCTCTGTGTCAAAGATGCACATCATCATTGTTGAGAAACTGCTGATTGTTCAGCAATTCTGCATCCGGTGCTGCAGAGGAGATGCAGACTGCACGACCACGTACGAACTTCCAAAACAAGCTCACTAACCACAGGTTTCCCTGCCTTGTAATACAATCCGTTGGTTGATTCCCCAAATCAAGAGTTTTCTGAGTGGAAAAAGATATTATAATTCAGTTTAGACCTTCTCCATCAACAAAACTGCCTATAACCAAACCTTGGGAAAACCAACACAACCCAAATCTCCCCAAAATAAAAACGTAACGTCCGTTGGAGATCATCTCCAGAAAAACGTGGAAGAGGAGAGGTTCACCCCCTCCAGGTCCATGGGCCCACCAGCAGGACTCAGCCCGTTCACCTTGCAACCGGTCTGTCGGAGGAAAGTGATGCGCGTACGTCAAATGTCATGTCAGACGTTTGTCCTCGGTCCTGGATACAGCGAGGCATCTGGGAATTCACCGTTGTTAAGGGATGGCATATCCCAGTTCCTCCTACATGTCAATCATCCGTTACAAGAAAAAGAAAGAACAGTGGATGAGAGGATAGTAAGAGTATAAAAGAACAGCAACAGAAAGATCTTTATTGCCCTTCGATTTAGTTCCCCGGCCTTCTCCTATTATTCAAATAAGATTTCTAACCAGTTTCTTACTTTTTCTTTCATCTTTACTTCTCCATTATTTTATTCCTTCCCTATGTGTAGTTCTTTTTTTTATACAGTTGTTACTCTCTCATCTCCATCCCTTCCACACACACTCTTCTTCTCTGTGGTTGCTCTACGGGTGTGAGGTATCTCAGAGACCATAAACGCCAATGACAACAGAGACAAGGAAAATCATCACCCTCCTCCAGGCTCTCCTCCTGCACTCCATCACTATCCCACATAAGTCCACACTTTATTTTCCTCATGCCCTCTTTCTTTGATTTAAAAACCACATGCAGGTTGCAGCTAGCATTCTGGTTGCTAACGTCAAACAACAGTAAGCCCAATGAGGGCTACAACAGGCTACATGTATTGATTGAATGATAGAGCCTCCCCATCACAGCCTAGCAACCGTAACTGAACACTAGAGGACAACATTCAGCATTTTGAAATATATTACATTCCATGTTGGATTACGGACGTTGCCATCGTGACTTTTTGGTACAGGTAAAACGAAATTGGGGTTGACGAGGGGTTAAAGACACTGTAAACGTCTCTGGTAGACCTGTCAATCGTGTAGCCGCGCCCTAAAGCGTCCCCTGCTTTATGGTCTGTTTGACTCTAAATGGACCATAATTCACTAAATCAACATCATGTTGTGTTGAAGAAGACTTGAAACTAGAGACTGAGACATAAACTCATGTTTACACTGTTTACTGAGGGAATAAATCCAGAGAGAAGTAGAGTCATTTCCTCATAGACGTCTATGGGAGCAGAGGAGTCGCCCCCTGCTGGTCACTACACAGAATGCAGCTTTAAGACTTAGATTGCCGACTTCAGTGGCGATACACAAACGCTCTCATACTCAAAGAGCAACTTCCGCTGAAGATGGAGTGAGGCCTCGCCTCCACCAAACAGTTTTTAATATATATCTCCAACTAAGCTCATTCATTTATTAATGACTCTGAGTACCATGACTCTCTACATCTTTTCACAATGAGCTTTAAATGCTGTTTTCCCAAACATAATAATCAGTGCATCAAGTTCATCATGTGCTCTGTGTTGGACGAGATGAACCTCCACAGAATTTATGGAGCCTCATAGTGAGTTTCATCTCCGCGTTTATCTGTCGGACTGTTCTGGTTCACCGTCACTGCTCCTGCTGCGTCGGAGTCCGTCAAGAAGCCGTACTAAACACCACCCTTCTCCACCTAGTGGTGGTCGAACAGCAGGCCGATGCGGTCGGACCCGAGCTGGCGGACACAGCGGAGAGCTCAGCGGCACACACGTTTGTCTCAGGAGGCGGTGGAGACCAAAACCGAGAGGGAACGTTGACTGGATGCAAACATTCAACACGAAGAGGTGCCGACGTGTGGATGTTGTGTATGAAGCCCCTCCAAGCACACACAGACACACACTCAGTGCACGTTTAAGTTGTGTGTGTTCCCGTGTGCGCGTGTACTTCCCAGTGATCGGTTCTTTCGCCTGTTTCACATTTAACAGGAGCTGGACTCCGTTTTTAATCGGCCAATTTTACAGTCATGCTATCTGCCATCGACAACACACACACACACACATGATTCACACACATGGCAGCTCACGCAGCCACATCACGTATGTGGACATACACGTGAAACACATCACACACAAGCTTGTTTGCACACTACACAGGCTGCACATGCACATACACACCTATGTTAATAATAGTCCTAATGGCCTACATACACATACGCGACACATATACGTGCGCACGCACACAGACACACAATGCAGCACCCATGATGAAAACGCGAAAGGAATCGAACCAGGAAGAGTCTCACAGGTTTCAGCGGCTCCTGCAGAGGTGATGGAGGGATGAAGGTGGGGGCTGGAGGAAGAGGAGGAGAGAGGATTATTGATCCCTGCTCATCCTTCTATCTCCTCCTCCGCTGCTGCTGCTGCTGCTGCTGCTGCTGCTGCTGCTGCTGTCACCATCATCTCCCTCCGAAAAAACCCACGCGCACACGCAAACGCACACGCACACGCAACTGCTGCTCCACCGTCTGCGCCGTGTTCTCGATCCGATTATTATCAATCGGGTTCCTCTGTCTCTCCCTCCTATTCCTCCGCTCGCCTCACGGCTGCAGGCCGCACTGCTCGTCGTCTTCCTCCTCCTTCCTCCTCCTCCTCCTCCTCCTCTTCTTCTTCTAGTTGCCGAGTCAATCTCTTTGTAATTATCATTCCTCTGCGTCTGACAGCCGAGCGATCGCTGCTGCTGCAGTCTCTCTCTCTCTCTCTCTCTCTCTCTCTCTCTCTCTCTCTCTCTCTCTCTCTCTCTCTCTCTCTCTCTAATATTAGTTGTTTTTTTCCTCCTTCTCTATTCTGCTGGAGGAAGACGGAAGGGCCTGGATAGATGGATGGAGGACGTGGGAGCATTGAGAGTGAAAGGAGGGAGGATAAGCGTGTGTGTGTGTGTGTGTGTGTGTGTGTGTGTGTGTGTGTGTGTGTGTGTGTTGGTTGCTGGTTTACCGCACAAATATCAGTCAAATGGTAGAAGAAGGAATCTTGGAATGTAATACAAATATTGAAGATAAATTGCATGCTAAAGAATAGGCTGATGTTATAGGATTGGGGTTACAAACTAACTAGTGGTCCGCGACCCTGTGTGCAGGATGAGCGGTTTGACAATGGATGGATGGACTAACTAGTGGTTGTCGTCCGGTAGTAACAAACCATAGCATAATAAAATCAAATGTAACCTAATTGGTTCTTTATTATTATTATTATCCTGTTGTGGTAAATATATTTGGACCAAAACTAATTATTTCTCGCTTTTCAAAGAATTGCCTTTAGTTATTATTAGTCCAATCAAGTCAAAAGCTTTTGTTTATATATAATTCACTGTCTTTTACCCCAAAAAGCAGTATGTCCTCACATTTAAGTGGAGGGCGTCCCCATAGACTCCCATGATACAAGTGGATCACGAGACAGGTCACAATCAAATCGCATTGCTTTATTAAATATGATGTCTTATGATGATTAATACAATAACTCCACTTGCTTCATCTCACTTCGATGATTTTTTTTCAAATAGACGAAATCATCGATTTCATGACAAACCCATTGACTTTACTCACTGACTTACTGTTTATACTTGTATATGAGTTTAAATATGAGTTTTTACCCCGGTACTGGTCAAGACCGAGACCAAGACCAAGCGAGACCAAGACCGAGACCAGACACTGTGGCTTCTAACCTGCGAGGAGTCCTTCTCCCAGAAGACGATGTTGGTTCTTTTGTTGCGTGAGTTCAGAAACAGAGTTCAGAAACGATTATTATTTAAACCCAAACGACAATCAAAAAGTACATGATGTTTCTTTATAAACCTGACAGCTTCATGTGAAAAGTTATTTTTCAGCTTCTGAATCTGCAGAGTGAAAAAAATGTCTTTAAGCTGCATTCTGTGTAGTGACCAGCAGGGGGCGACTCCTCTGCTCCCATAGACGTCTATGAGGAAATGACTCTACTTCTCTCTAGTGACCAGCAGGGGGCGACTCCTCTGCTCCCATAGACGTCTATGAGGAAATGACTCTACTTCTCTCTAGTGACCAGCAGGGGGCGACTCCTCTGCTCCCATAGACGTCTATGAGGAAATGACTCTACTTCTCTGTAGTGACCAGCAGGGGACGACTCCTCTGCTCCCATAGACGTCTATGAGGAAATGACTCTACTTCTCTGTAGTGACCAGCAGGGGGCGACTCCTCTGCTCCCATAGACGTCTATGAGGAAATGACTCTACTACTCTGTAGTGACCAGCAGGGGGCGACTCCTCTGCTCCCATAGACGTCTATGAGGAAATGACTCTACTTCTCTGTAGTGACCAGCAGGGGGCGACTCCTCTGCTCCCATAGACGTCTATGAGGAAATGACTCTACTTCTCTGTTGATTTATTCCCTCAGTAAACATTGTAAACATGAGTTTATGTCTCAGTCTCTAGTTTCAAGTCGTCTTCATACAGCATGATGTTCATTTAGTGACTGATGGTCCATTTAGAGTCCTATTTACTAAATGAACATCATCTGTATCGATGGAGACTTTCTCTTAAACTTCTCTACATCAAATTAAGGAATCTGTGATCATTGTCAATATCAGCTACTACTAAAAGACACACACAGCCAAGGAGATACATCACAGGGACTAATGTGCAGGGGGCTGATATCACAGCTATATAACAATAACATGGAAGATCAATACAGCACCCAATAATATAATTACACCCCCAAATGAGATCAATGCACCCCCAATAAGTTCATCATCGGGACACTTGCATGTCTGCAGGAATATGTGCGCTTTTATTCCGGCTCTCGTTGTGCCGTTCGGCGTTATGTGACAGGAAAACCAATTAACCGTCAGCACTAATTAACGAGGCAAGGCCGAGCACGAGCGCGTGGAACCTTCACTAACCATCACCGTGGCAACAGGACGAGTTTAGATAAAGCGCCATGAAAATAATACGAGAATAAACAGCACAAAACCACCAGAGCAGAAGTTGGATCTTTCTTTCTGCGGACATTCGCTCTAAGCAGAACACACACACGCGCACACACACACACGCGCACACACGCACGCACACGCACACACACACACGCACACACACACGCAGGCCTACATGCACGCATGCACGGACGCGCGCAGTGAAGCAGTCCAACATGGTAAGAATCACCTGTGCTGTGGATCCGTCCTCCGCTGCACACTGACGATAATCCCCATCACGCTCGCACACGCTCACGTGCACACGCGCGCACACACGCGCTCACGCGCACCAGTCTCGGTCATGGTGGAGATGCTGGGAGCTGTGGCCGCAGACCGCCTCAGAGATCCTCTACGAGCAAACAGGAGCGACCACTCTCTGCTTTTCCTAACAGAGCTTTGATCGGATCAATAGGCTATTAATCAATATTTAGTCTGAAATGCAATAGTTCGTCTTTTTCAATTAACAAGTGATGATGGCACGCAATGTGAATCGTACGTTGCAGTTTTATCTTCATTTCTTTGCCTAAGATGTCATGAAGCATATCATCATAAACCTTGGTTGGATAAACAAAAGCATCTTCCCTCTTAACGGAACTCAATTTGATTTAAATTGAAGTCTTGAAGTTTGTGATCCAGAAGTCTCCTCCAGAAGCAGAAGGTCCTTCACAGCTTCTGATTCTGACGGTTTGTTCACATCTCATCCAGACAATCAGTTTCAACTAAATGTATTAATAAAAACACGGAGAAAAGAGATTATTTTATGGCTGTATTTTCTATTTGCAGTGTGATGAAGAGATACATCATGATTTACTCTGTTAATAACATTATGTCTAATAACATTAAGCATCATTTTGAACCTGGATAATGTTCACGTTCATATTTCTGAATGTATACAAATATTCAACAGACAATAATCAAGTTGAATATTTAAACCAGCTATTTGCAAAGCTTGTGATACAAAAAGAATTGTCTTCATGCAAATAATCTACTGGAGTACCTGCTGACCACGAGCACGTGAGGATTCACGCTTTCATACGTGAAAACCAATCAGAACACGCCGCATGACTTCCAGTAAACAGCAGCGTGACCACAGCGAGGCGCTAAAACACCTCCTGAGTGTGAGGAGCAGGATGAAGCTCCAGAGCGGCAGCAGAGTGACACCTCGCTGCTTCCTCTGCTCTCTGAGGACTCTGTTCATCACGTCCTGCAAGGCTTCTGCAGCTGCAGCACTCTGCTGCCTCCTCCTCCTCCTCCAGGACTCCTCCCCCTCCCCCTCCAGGACTCCTCCTCCTCCCCCTCCAGGACTCCTCCTCCTCCTGTCCTGATCCCGGCTGGCTGGAGGTTCTGGTAGGTGGGTTCTTCCCGTGTGGAGACGACAGTTTTCATAAAGGTCAATATGAGGAAACAAAAAATATGGATTAATATTAACATTGATACAATGAGCATAAATCAGACATGGTTAATATACTGAAGGCCTCACTTTCATAGTGAGAGACTTTTATATCTCCCACATATGCATAATAGGATTTGACACAAGCAATATTTTAATCTTAGGAGCAGTTGAGAACACAGATAATCATAGATATGGATTTCCAGACTTTTTGAGAAATAACACAGACGGGGACTCTGACTGGAGACAGCTTGTGTTTCTCGGTGACCCCGGAGGGTCAACAAAGGGTCAATTGGGTGCTTTCGGTGGGGATGACACCTCGTCGTGATTTGTGTCGACGAATGTTGCTCAGCATCTTTCTCTGAATTGAAAAGACAAAGCAACATATTTGTAAATGAGCATGAATGGACATGAAGAAAACACCCTTCATTGATTCACATGTTTGATGCTGCGTGCTGGCTGGTTTTCAGGTGGGCTGAGAGGAGCTCGCTCACCATCCTCACCTGTGGCTGATTAGCACCGGTTAAAGTGAACGAATCTTCAACCGGACCTCATCATCTCACACGTAACTGATAATTTTAGATCTGGATAACAACGTCAATACTTTCTAAACGGGACCAAAAGAAAGAAAGAACCAACCCCGGCCTGCTCCCTAGCCGTTGAGGCTAATGCTAGCTAGCATGCTACTGTTTACGGATGTGAAATCTCCCCCGCAGCTCTGAAGAGAAGACGGACTGCGTTCTCCAGGGCTTCCCCTCGGCCCCGTTCTCCTCAGACCATCTCAGTGTTCTGCTCTCAATGTGAGGCCACGCGAGGCGGCGCGTCATTAACTGCGAGTCACCTCCATGTTTGTGCCCTCGGACGTTCTCCTGGTGTTCAAACCCGTGGAAAGGAAAAGAAAGTTCACTTTTAGAATTGAGAATTGTTGAAGGTGTAGAAAAGTGTCACAATGCTAACACAACCGATTGTGATCCCTATGAAAGCGCACTAGTAGCAGGAAGCTAACGCCACGTAGTTCCAAATGACTTTGACCCCCACTGACGTGGAACTCCTCCCAGCTTCCTCGGCTAATAGCATTTAGTTGTATAGGAACTATGAGGATTGGCTGGATGATGGATTTATCACAGGCGCCCGTTGTGCCTAATAACCCGACTAAGAATCCATTACCTCTTGTGACTTTGCATCTCAAGCCGCCATTAAATGCACCAAAATGTATTCTGCTCTGAGCTAAAAGCCTTTAGGTCCATTCATCTCATTTCTTTCCCCTGTAGGTTCATATGTGACTTATTGCATGTTGCTCTTCCTTGTGGTATAATTTATACATCTACTCTTTGTACTGCGTCACATATGATAAAATGACTGCTGTCTCCTCACTGGAAGACCTCGTCTACCTGAGCCTCCATCCAGCAAAGACCAGGAGCCCGGCTGCTACTGAGCTTCCTGTTTGATTCGATGCTCCAAAGGTTCTGCTCGGTTCCATTTTGTTCTTCTACTATTGGCAGATACCGTATATCTATAAGCAATATATTTTCATCATCTTTCTGCTGAAGATTCATATTTCATCATTTCTCTGAGGGTTCTTGTTGGACAATTCTTTGGACGTGTCCAATCTGTCCGGCTCTTCTTCAGAAGGTCGTACTTATACCTACAACACCTCTTACTGTTCATGTCACATGTCCATTTCTTACTGTTCATATCTATTTATTCACTTATTGCACTTTACATATGCACATACTCTGCACTTTTTGCTATTTTGCACTTCTGGTTGGATGTTAAACTGCATTTCGTTGCCTCAGTACTTGTACCCTGTGCAGTGACAATAAAGATGAATCTAATCTAATCTAAAGGTTGAGCCGTAGATGGAAGAAGGAGAGGAACAGAAGGAGTTCCGCTTTCATCAGTTGCTCAACAAGTTGGAAGCTGCGTTTCGTAATAAAATCCAAAGGCAAAGAAATCATCCATGATGCAGCAGTAGCCATAGCAACCCATGTAGAAACTCTGAAGATCTTTCAGGAAACACCTTCTAGTTTAAAATCCAAACGTTCAAACAACCAACGACAGAAAATTGATGTCTGTGTTCAAAAAATAGATATATTGCATTGAGATTTAAAATGCTTAAATTACATAAATCTAACAAATGACTCATGTGAAATACAAAAAATCCAATTTTATTAATTTACTGTCCTATGTGGTTTATTAAGTGTAAAAATAACCAAAAAGACATAAATTGCATTTCTGTAAAAGTATCAGCTATTCCTAAAAAGGGGGGTCGCACTCTGTGAGTGAGCGCATGCAACGCCCCCCCCCCCCCCCGCATGCATGCATGCATCTGAGCAGCAGAGGGCAGCACGGACCCGTCACCACACGCCTCTGAAGAGGTTCTTTTCTAGTGGCTTTATAGCTGAGAATTAAAGAAGGTCCCTGTGTCTCCGTGTCCTCGTAGGCGTCCCTCTTGGATTTCCTGGCCGTCCTTCTGCTTTCTCCTGTAAGGAGTAAAATAATCAAATATCAAGCGTAAAGTAATCATGAACACGCACAGCCACACACACGTTGGTTTGCCGGCCTCCTTCGATTGGCTACTGAGGAGCTCAAATCGGACGTGCTCCATGGAACACGTGTTCATTTCTGATGGAGAAAGGCCACAAACAACCATGTGGGTTGACTGATTTCACAGTTTGTGAGTTAATAGGAACTGCAGATACTCAGCTAGGCGCTGACATAGCGATCCGGATCAGTACTCCTCAGTGTGTTTACAGAAAGACCAAGGAACACGTCTCACTCGACTTTGTTTTAATTCATTCTGCAGGTTTTCACTTTCAATACAAAAAATGTCTTCACTACACTTTAGCTTCAGGAAAGCTGTTCAATAATCCAAAATGTTCAATACTTAAACCATGCATGCTGTTACTCAGTATTAATATTTTATTTTACACCCAATGATGGACACAACCAAGCTGTGAAGCCCCAAGCACCCTGTGAGCCCCCCTGCTGCCAAAAGCTCCTTGAGCAACACGTTGAGTAACTTAATATGAACTATTTGACTTTCACATATATCATTTGACATATACAGTACATATATATATCATCTGACTACATCATGTTCTCACATGGGCGAGTAGTTTTAATTAATGTAAGTTCATCCCCACAAGGAGTCTCAAAAGGCATTCTGGGAAAGTGACTTACAAATAATGCACCTGTAGATGAAGTCACAGATCAATGAGACCTGCGATATAAAAGTGAATATATTTTTCTTAAATGCACATAGTGTTGAGCACTGAACACAACAATATTATAATATTCATTTTATTTTATGGTTGAATGCACTGGTCTATGGTGACCTTTATGCTCTCTGTACTACTCTTTTTAATCAGAATCACATGGCTAAAGATATGAGTGGAGTCACGCGTGTGGATTGTTAATATTCCTGCGTGTCACAGCAGCGTGTTATCAGCTCAACGGCAGACGGCCAACAGACAAAAAGAGTGAAAGTCACAGACTGCAGGAGGAGGAGGATGCAATTATCTGTAAACTCATATCTCATATTCATACTTTGTTTGTTTTTGCACAAGCCTTGAAAAGAGAATGTACTAAAAGTTTTATATACGGAAAAACAAAGATAGAATATCCTGCAAAAAACTATTTGATTTGGCAGCAAAATATTAAATCAAGTGAAGATTTTAAAGAGCTTCTGTTGCTGGAGTCCTGTGATAAGTCGCTGCTCACACAGCAAGTGACACGACATCACATTCAGGCTGCAAAGCTCGAGAGGCGTGAAACGTTGTGTTCATTGTTGTTCGTTGTGGCTCGACTACATTCAATGGAAAACACTCGATTAGTTTCCCTTTTGTTTCGTGTGCAGAATGTTGCTGCAGAAGACAAACAAACATCGTGCAGCCGTGGTCCATCAGGTGGATCAATAATACTCGTTTCTGCAAAAGGGTAACATGTATGTACATTCAGTGTCCTCCGAGAAGAAAGACACTTTGATTTGGATCATCTGGAATGTTCCTTTCTACGTGAAAGTTCTCCTCTCAAGCTCGTTGTCCCTCACGTCCATGGGGAGACGGTGCACTCTGAACACACTCTGGTCGATGTGGGACTGAACCTGCGGGGGGGCGGAGATGAACCGTAACCCCGAAACCTTAAACGTGTCTTCACCACGTGTGATGGGACTGCATCACCTGGATAGAGAACGCCCAATTTCAAAAATATTTGATCCCAGATCTTCAGGACTTCACATTGTTGGTCCGGTGATCCGAGTCAGAGTCTTCTGTGACATCACAGCGTTCCTCTCCGGACTCCTCACGCTCCATTCTCTCCTGTTTCCTTTCCTTGTATCTTCCCCTTCCTCCTTCCTACCTTCGTCACGGTCAAAGCGCTTCGCGTCTTAAATCTCGTCTCCTCATCCTCCCGGTGTCCAGTCCTAAGTCCTGTTTCTGATGGTCATGTCCCGGTTTGCTCCTCCTCCTCCTGGTCACACCGTGGTCACGGAGAGCAGAGGGTTGTAGATCTTCTTCCCGTCCGGCGACCTGGAGCCGTGGGCCAGCAGCTCCTGGATGGTCATCCAGTTGTCGAGGATGCGGCGGTTCCTCTTCTTCGTGGTCTTCTTCTGGCTCAGAAGCAGGACGTGGTTTTCCTGTCGTGGGGGAAGCTTGACTTCGGCGCCTCCTGCTGGTGAGGAAGTGTCCCTGGATAAGAAAGCAAAAAACAGGGCTTTAACCCTCTGTTCACGCTGTTGGTTTCACACATTTGATCTGGTGACGTGGTCGGGAGCTCTGAGCTCTTTAGCTTTGTTGAACTGGTTTCTTTCTAGTTTTATAAGTTTTGGTTATTTTGGGCTTGAAGATTAAACTAAAAAGCTGCCATTTTAAGGTGAAAAACACAAATTATTGACTCATTTGATCTGAGAGAAATATTCACTCAACAATAACATTAAACTCAGCTAAGAGCCCAATGATGTTTGATTCTCTGTAACTGTGTTGTACGTGTTGATGATTCCTTCAGTCGTCCGGGTAGAACCCGTCCTGGTACCCTACCTGCCTCCTTTGAGGTAGTCCAGGCGACTTTGCATCATGAACTCTCTTCTTCGTCGGTATTCTCTGGCTCTCAGCAGCTGCTGCTTCCTCTCCTCCTTGCTCCAGTATCGGCCCTGATGGAGCACAGTTCCAGACACAGTTAGCTCGGACTAAATACCAGCTGCGTGTGTAAATGAAATGAAAGAAAGGGATTTGGTGGTTGTGGAATTGGGATTTAAAATGGTGAGTAGTTCAATTAATTATATTCTTGTTTTTTCTGATTTTCTGAGGTGAGGAAGAGGAACAGAAAGAGGTCCACATGCAGGATGTTCGGGTAAAGGAAATGTAGACTCATTTCAGCTGGTTAGATAATGTGGTTGTTCTTGAAAGTCTGTATGACGAAAACCTTTTGGCAGGATAATCCAAGAAATATTGTATGTGGATATGTTGGAATACAATATTCCTGAGATCCCTACGTAGACAGGCCTTACTAAGCTAAGATCACTACGTAGACAGGCCTTACTAAGCTAAGATCACTACGTAGACAGGCCTTACTAAGCTGAGATCACTACGTAGACAGGCCTTACTAAGCTGAGATCACTACGTAGACAGGCCTTACTAAGCTGAGATCACTAGACAGGCCTTACTAAGCTGAGATCACTACGTAGACAGGCCTTACTAAGCTAAGATCACTACGTAGACAGGCCTTACTAAGCTGAGATCACTACGTAGACAGGCCTTACTAAGCTGAGATCACTACGTAGACAGGCCTTACTAAGCTGAGATCACTAGACAGGCCTTACTAAGCTGAGATCACTACGTAGACAGGCCTTACTAAGCTAAGATCACTACGTAGACAGGCCTTACTAAGCTAAGATCACTACGTAGACAGGCCTTACTAAGCTGAGATCACTACGTAGACAGGCCTTACTAAGCTGAGATCACTACGTAGACAGGCCTTACTAAGCTGAGATCACCACGTAGACAGGCCTTACTAAGCTGAGATCACTACGTAGACAGGCCTTACTAAGCTAAGATCACTACGTAGACAGGCCTTACTAAGCTAAGATCACTACGTAGACAGGCCTTACTAAGCTGAGATCACTAGACAGGCCTTACTAAGCTGAGATCACTACGTAGACAGGCCTTACTAAGCTAAGATCACTACGTAGACAGGCCTTACTAAGCTGAGATCACTAGACAGGCCTTACTAAGCTGAGATCACTACGTAGACAGGCCTTACTAAGCTGAGATCACAGCGTAGGCAGGCCTAACTAAGCTTAGATCACAGCGTAGGCAGGCCTAACTAAGCTTAGATCACAGCGTAGGCAAGCCTAACTAAGCTTAGATCACAGCGTAGGCAAGCCTAACTAAGCTTAGATCACAGCGTAGGCAGGCTATGCTAAGCTCAGACTCTACCTGCTTCATCTCACTGGCCGCGTCGTCGTCGGTCGTCATGCCGCTGCGTTCCTCTCTGATCTTCATGGCTCTGGCCTTCAGGAGTCGATCCCTGACCGGCCGCTTGGCCACGTAGCGAGTGCCGTCGCTCCGGACCTTCACCTAGAGAGGACAAATGAAAGTGGTGATGGTGTTGGAGCCAGCCGGGCCCTTTATGCCTGCCTCTCCAGCTTCCAACCGGGCCATGCTGCACCTCACCGATCTCTGGGTGGTGGGGTTAGCAAGGGGGTCGGCATGGTAGGGGTGAGAAGCCCTTTTGTTTGACCATGTTTTCTCCTGCTTCTAGGTAGGAAGATAGGTAACATACCTGTACTTTTGTTTGTTCCTTTGTGTGGTCTAGGGAAGTTAGGTGACCTGCACAGATTGTTTTGTTTGGTGTTGTGGGCCACGCTCACCCTGAAGGGAGCCCATGACCTCGTACTTACAATGAAGAACTATTGTAAACGATAACGCTGCAGCATTGGTCCTAATTTGGGAGGTGGGGAGACTCTTGTGGGGTATGTTACCCCACAAGAACTGGAGCTTTAATCAGGACGTAGTTGGGGCCCAGTGGTGTTCAGAGGGCTGATGGGAGAATCCTTCACCACACCATTTACCTTCCACTCCATGCGCTGCGGTGAGGCCGACGGCGATGAGTGCCCGAGCGGTAGAGCCAGTCCTAACCGAGAGGCGCCAGAGTGGTGGCCCTCCAGACCACAGGGGGCGCTGTTCACACTCCTGGGGCTGGCGGGGCAGCTGCTGCCCGTGCCCTTGCCCCTCTCCTCGCCCTCGGCACTCGCCCTGTCCCGGATTCGGTCCAGCGGGTCAACCAGGCCTTCGGAGGGCAGCGTCATGCAGCTCTGGTAGCGGCCCAACGGTTTGTTGTGACTCTGGCGTCTTCTGCTGAAATACGGACTGGACTCTGCACTTCCACCTCCGGGCCTGTCGGCGGCGCCACCTGCAATGATTACGATGGTTTTCAGAGAATTACTCCTAGATTTTCTTGTATTTTCCTAAGACAGTCCACCAAGCTGTTGTTTGAAATGTAGGTATTAATCCCTGAAGCCGAAGAGTAGACGACTCATTGTGGTTCTTGAAAGACTCCTGTTGTGCGTCTTTGATTTGAATGATTATTACATGTTGTGGCGTGGCGTGCTGCGGACACTGAGGAACTTTAGCATGTAGCTGGCTACTTATGGCCAACAAACCTTCAACAGAACTCTTCATCGGCTTTGAAAATGAGCATCCACAGTACACAGAATAATGCAGTTGATTGTGTACCTGCTCTGGAGCACAGCCCCCCGTCAGCCACACCTCCTCTGGATGATCCCGCCTCTCTGGTCAGAGACCTGAGGATGAAGACAAACCCAACGTATCACCTAATACAATCAAGAATATGCAGTTTGAGTCAACAAGATGTGATGAAAGCAAAACCTGAATTTGGAGGGGGTGCAGGGGGTGGAGCTTGAGCCTTGCGCCACGTTTCCATTGGCCGTCTCGTACTTCCTGTAAGTGCCTGGTGAGAAGGAGCCACTGAGGTTGGAGTGGCGCCTCTCTCTGTCCCACCCGCGACGCCGCGGGGTGAGGGGGGAGTTCAGAGGAGGGAGGCAAACAAGGGGGAGAAGAGGAGGTGGGGACATCAGCCGCCCGCCGACGTGGTCCTCCTCTTCCTGGAGAGGCGGGATCTGCTCGGTGCTGACCAGCGGCGTGCTGCGGCAGCTCTCCCCGCCGGTGTTGTAGGCGCTGGTGCTGTCTTTGTCGTCCGATCTCTCTGGGAGCTCGTTGATGGCCGATAACTCGTGGCGATGAGGGTCATCGTCGTCCATGTCCTCGTTGACGTCCAAACCTACGAGTAAAGAATTTTTCGTTTACTTCAGATTTTGGAAGGTATTCAAAGACTTTTTATTAAGATTATTTTAAAGCTTTGACTACAGAAAATCCTCTTTTCCTCCTCTCACCTCTTATTGACATGGATTTTTTTCTTTACAATCAATATATAAATAACAGAAAAATACATGTACAATAAGTTGTCGAATAGCCCAAATTTTCTTCCAAATGAAACGTTTTTTAAGAGGAACCAATCAAACCCTGGCTGCCTGATGGGGTCGTGTTCTAAAAGTGATGTCATCACACAGTGGGCGTGGCCACATGTTGAGCTTTACAACCAACAACTTGGGAGAATGTTTAAAGCACGGCAATGAAAAAGGACGACAAGCTTTTGTAGTCATGGCAACCGTATGAGAGCCTGTTTAATATAAAAGCATCTTCTATCATTGAAAGGAAAAGAACCAATTTGGCCCAAACAAATGAAACTCACTATTCCACGGGTAGCTAGCGACAACGCAGACCTCATACCGGATTCCACCCTTCGTTTTGACTCATTCCTGTTGTCATGGTTACCTGCTTCAGGCGGGCGTGGTCGCCCGGCCGTCACCTCCTCCATCATCCAGGCTTTGAGGCATCTCTCTCTTAACTGCTGCATCTTCTGCGCTCGCAGGATGTTGCGGCACTTGAACTCCAGGTGGCGTAGCTCCTCCTCGATCAGCGCCATCTCGTGCTCGCTCAGAGCGGCGCTGAAGTTCACGTCCACCAATGAAGAAGAATCCTCCCCCTCCGTTTGCTCCCCGGGGTCTCTCCCCTCAAGCAGTTTTTCGTTGCGTTTCTCGAACTGGCACTTGACCTCCAGCAACTCCTGGTATCGCTGGCACTCCTCCTCCGTCAGGCCCGGCATCATCATGCTCAGAGGGGGCTGATGGTGGTGGTGCTTAAGTTCAGAGGTCACGTGTTAGCAAGAAGCCAGTCTATGGTAATCTCAAAGATTAAAAACATTCAATCTTTTTACTATTTGTGCGTTCAGCTGAAGCAATTCAGCAAGATCAGTGGCTCAAATTAATCAAGCTTGTAATATATAAGATAAGAATGATAGAATATCACAAATCTTTAAAAGTTTGAAATATTTTCATCATCGATAATCTCCTCATAAAAATGTTGTTGGGAGATCACTGAAAGTGAAGTGCCTAAATCCCGATGCCACTGGAGGTCAGCGTGGTGTTGGTACCCGTGGTTCGCCACGCCGACAGGCGGTGAGTGTCGTCAGAGCGTGCCGGTCGGTGAAGCGCCCCCACCAGGGTGGCACCGTTAGAAGCGGGTGTCACAGTGGAAGCACAGCTCTCGTTGCTCCGCTCTAGATAATGACGTTAATGGTTTCCTGCTGCGGCACATGAGCGCCTACAGCACCGCCAGCCCCCCAAATCCCCCAATTTCATTCTAATAAACACAAGGAATTGGAACATTTGGTGCTCTCAAAATGAACTACCCCGTGACGATGATGATGATGATGAGGTTCATTGGTTTGATTTAATTAAGCTCTTTTTCTCAGATGAGCAACAGATATCCGGCTTTGTTAGAAGTATCTTTAGGATTTTATCGTTACCTCTAAAAGACCTGTTTTTTTATTTTTTTAAATAATGAAATAAAACTTATCAGGAAAACAATCAATATTTGTGTTATTATTGCATGTAAATAATCTTTCTTCAGCTGCAAAAGCTCTTTAAACTCCCCCCTCTTCTAAGTAAAGATGTCACCGTGGTTGCATTAGTGCGGGTAGATGTTCGGCTTGCTGCTCTCATGTTGTGAGAAATGTTGGTTCCTCTTCTGCGGGTTTCATCGCATGTGAGACCCACAGAGTTCTCAGCGTCTTGTTGGGGGTTTGCCAACATTCAGAAAACAAAATATCTCCATCCTTAATTTGTCTGTACCTTGGGGTGATGGTGGGGGCCGGCTGCCCAGTCCAGGCCAGGGAGGGAGTCTGAGCTGAGCTGAAAGTCTCGCAGGTGGAGGAAAGGAGGGGTGGTGTCTCCTCGGCCGGGGCTCAGGCCGGGGCTTGGTCTAGGACTCGGCCTGGGCCACGACACACAGAGGGGATTGTGATATTTAAACATGAAAGTTCTCCACAGTATTTTTACTTGGTACTGAACTTAATTTAAAAATGATGTCCTGAGTACTGACGCTAGACCCAGGCCTACCTGGGGCTGGGTCCCGGTCTGAACTTCCTGGCACTGCCGGGGGTGTTGGTGGTGTTGGTGTTGCAGGCGCTGGTCTGATCCCCCAGCAGGTCGTGTTCCGACGACTCCTCGTAGCGGGTGCTGTCGTCGGTCCGGCCCACCCCGCTGTCCAGCTCCTGGCTGTTGGACAGCAGAGGAGCCAGGCTAAGTGGAGGCGGGAGGGGCACCGGGGGGTCTCCATCCTCCTTCTCTTCTCTCTCTCCGTCCTCGTCCCCGTCCAGTCCACCGCCTGTTTCCTCCTGGCAGCCCAGGCCTCCTCCGCCTCCCCCCTCCCGACAGAGGCGGTAAGCGGCGGAGGCTTGAGGGTCTGCGAGGAAGCCTTCTACTTCCAGAGTCAGCTCCATGTCCTCTTCTGGACCAGCAGGGTCGTTGTGCTGAAATAAATGAATAATGAATCAAATAGATGCTAATAACTATACAAGATCCTGAGGACCAAACCTACCAGACCCTCAAGACCAAACCTACCAGACAGACCCTCAAGACCAGACCTACCAGACCCTCAAGACCAAACCTACCAGACCCTCAAAAACAAACCTACCAGACCCTCAAGACCAAACCTACCAGACCCTCAAGACCAAACCTACCAGACCCTCAAGACCAAACCTACCAGACCCTCAAGACTAAACCTACCAGACCCTCAAGACCAAACCTAGCAGACCCTCAAGAACAAACCTACCAGACACTGAAGACCAAACCTAGCAGACCTTCAAGACCAAACCTAGCAGACCCTCAAGACCAAACCTAGCAGACCCTCAAGACCAAACCTAGCAGACCCTCAAGACCAAACCTAGTAGACCCTGAAGACCAAACCTAGCAGACCCTCAAGACCAAACCTACCAGACCCTGAAGACCAAACCTTCACCATCACCATCCTCCTCTAGGACGCCATTAAAAAGCATCACTGAGCCTCTCTGCTGTTCCTTCATTATTTGTGTGTTTACCTGACATGTATGAATGTCATGCAGCTCCTCCTCTGTCAGCAGATGTACACACAGAGCTGTGATAAATCATCTTGTGTGAGTGTGTGTTATAAGGCCGAGTGCACACACAACCAATTAATGTTGTGAAGAAAAAAGGCTGACTGTGAATATCACGAATCTGCTTCACACACAGTTGATCTACACTCTTTATCTTGGATCACAAAAGAGCCCAAAATGACAAATGGAGATGATCTGCATTCTCTGTACCTTTTCAACGTGTCTTCATACAACTGTTTGCACGACGTCCTACGAAAGGTTTCAATCACTGTTCATTCAAAAAAGCCTGTGTTCATTTAAAGCCTGCTTCCTGCACACACTCTTTCAAAGTAAAGCTCCATCTCCACAGGGTAACCAGTAACAATGTGATTTGGTGGTGGTCAAAGTTTAGATTTTAAAAAGTGTTTTTACTCAGTACAAAAGGTACGTGATGAAGCTTCACACAGGGAACAGCTTCCTGGAGGAAAGACGAGACCAGCCGGACCGTTTTACCCCAGTAAACATCAACACATCAAACTGACCCAATAGTTATTATTATATAACACCCCCTCTCAGTTTAGGGTGCTGGATGGTTGTTGTGTGGAAATATCCCTAAAGGTCTCCAAGCTCCATCAGGGAGGGAAACAAAGCCACTGCTAGTGTTCCATGAGTTGGATGGCAGGAGAAGACCCCACCGATCCTCCCCCAGCAGGGACACCAGGAGGAAGTGGGTCACTGAAGGACGTTACGGATGTGGACACTATTTCTGGAGCTGAAAATGAAGAAATCATCCTAAAAAAAAAAAGGATCGGCTCAGTTTAAAGTAATAAAGAGACTACTTCATTAACCTTATTAATCCTATTAAACTGAACCAGTCCCAGTTTAGTCCTGATCCTTTACCGGACAGCTGAATGGGGGGGTGGTGTTTCTATGGTTACCTGCAGTCCTCTATCAGCTTCTAGTGTCATGTGACGTCACCTCTATGTCGGGCCGGGCCAGCAGCAGGGAGAAGTTGATGCTGTCCTCTCGGGTCAAAACGGCCACCGCCTCCTTTCTGTTCTGGATGTCCACGCCGTTGATCTGAAGGGGGGGGGGGGTCCAATGTGAGAATCTCTCTCTTTATCCCAATTATCCTTTCCCGATTAATACAACATGTGTGAACCATGTAAGAGGCAGATATGGTCCTTGTCCTTGTGAGACACCGGTAACCATGGTGATGGGACGGTGCCGCACAGTCGATTCTCAACACACATCTGTCAGTTTTTCCTTCCCTGCGACACCGGTTCTCAGTGGGAGGGTCAGACGTCAACGAGCAGTAAAATGTCATGGGAGATGAATTTATTCACGCTCGCTTTTCCGTCTCATAGTCAGATGGGGGGGGGGGATGTGGGGGGTAAACAAAAGCATCTGGTTTTAAAGGGATTTCAAAAAGGTCAAACGCCTCATTAAGCTCCGGCTGACGGCTCCTCTGCCAAAGTCCTTCAGTCTCACACAAACTCCGTCCTTTGATGAAATAAACCGTAGTCAACAGCGGATTCATGTTCATCTCTAATTCATTCACCAGCATTTAAGAGGTTGTAATAGTTCCCATATTTGAAAAAATATAAACGTACACATTCTCGTGTTCACACATTCTCCTTTGGTCCGATAATTGCTCCTCAAAGCAGCGGCGTCCTGTGATTGGTCGCCATTGTGTGGGGGGAGGTGTGTCTGCGTAGGTCAAAGTCCACAGAAGTCTGAGAGGAACCCGATGGGAACGTCCGGTGAGGTCCCCCCCCCCGTCCCCCCCCGTCCCCCCGTCCCCCTCGCTCTGCTTCGGTCTGTGCTGCATCGGCTCTTCTGTCATATAGTGACAAACAGAGCGAGGGGTGTGCTGGTAACACTGGGTGACCACAACACCCCCCGGTCTATTTTTAGAGCAGCAGTAACTGGGCTGCTGACGGCTCGTTCTGATTGGACCACGCGGTCCGCGAGGGGCCACGGTACGAATTTACATAGTCTGATTTGAATCTTTTTCCCTCCTGATGCCAAATCATTGAGCATGTTTCAGATTTATGAAACGAGATTTTTCCTTTCTGCTCAAATGAAATTGGTCATTTATAGAAAGTCCTGTAAAGCTGAAGGAGACGGGTTCATATCAAAAGCACAGCTTATCTTTTCTGTACAACACAAGTTTCTCCTTTAGTGACCACACTGTGATTTAAATCTTATTTCAGGGTTCCTTTAGAGGCTTCTGGGTTTAACTTTGCTCTGTTGTCATGGAGATGACTGAGATGAGTCGTGAGAACAACTGAGGCCACAGAAGAGCTTTGGTTTGCGTTAAAAGAGTTAACTGAGTTTCTTTAATCCTAATCACATGTCACAACGTTTGGATAAGGAAAAGCTCACACACATTTTTTCATTTTTTATGGCATTAATATATTGTAAATATCTCTGGGAGGGTAAAAAATGGATGCTAGAAATCCCATTCAAATGTAATCCCCATTTTGGTTTTGTTTTTCTCACATTTGTCCAGAAACAAGTTTTGATTTTCGCTCATTGCCGCAGTTTTTATGAAATAAACTTCGGTCCATAAATGACACTGACTTATGGTTTTATTACTTCACACTGTATCATTCGTGTTTGAGATGCATGACATGAGATTGGGATCATTTTGATTGACGGCTCTCAACATGGTGCCGACAGCTCACAGTTAAAGATGCTAACGATGCTAACAGCGCTAACTGCACCACAGTGAAACAGCACACACACACAGAGGGAGAAAGACTCCGTTCTCTGCTCAGACGGTACGACGCTATGAGGGCAAATACGTCGGTGATTAAAGCCCCCGTTGGTCCTCAGCTGAACCTGAAAAACATAGTTAGGTTTGGGAAAAGACGGATATTTGGGTTGAGTCCACGTTGTGAGACGAGATGATCAATGGTCTACTACAGCGATTCCCAAAGTGTGGGCCGAGGCCCGCTGGTGGGCCGCGGGGGTACTGCAGGTGGGCCGCAGTACGCAGTGGGTTTATTTACAATAAATAAATAAAGTTTTTTAATAAGTTTGACATTAATATAAAAGTATTTATGATGCGGCACATTAATCATGTGAAACATTAGTTGACGAAACACAAACAATTTAAACGGACAGATTAATAAAACAATAAGGCTCGAAACGGCTGCTCTTGTCCGCCTGTCGTTGTTCAACAAACGCGGCGCCCTCTTGTGGTATGAAAGTCAATATACCGCATATTCCGCACTCCAAGACGCACTTAAAAGGCTTTAACTTCCTCAAAAACGACAGTGGCTTATAATCCAGAGCGCCTTATATATGGATCCATTGGTTAATCGGTTGATCCGTACTGGTTGTACACGGCGCTCAAGGCGCTCTGACAAACACGCCAAAGCTCGTCTACGACGGCGAGATGCTGAGTGAGATACGGAGCTGCTTTCAGGGCGCGTCGGAGAAACAAAGCTGTCGTTCTCGCCGAGCACTTCATGAGATTAAAGAGCGAGAGACGGCGCCCTTTTCTCTACAGACGCTGAACCATCTTAACGGGGAAATAAGTTATTCTAAAAGCAGCCGAAGATTTAAGGCGTGGATGGCGAGGGGGGCGGCGGGAGCGGACGCACCTCACGGCATCGATCGGACCCTGAAAGCACCGTCTCCACCTCCCTGTCAGAAAGAACAACAGCGAGCGCGTAGAAAACTCCTTCGATTGCGAGCAGAGATTCTCCTCGCGAGCAACGAAGCTCACGTTTCGCAAGCGAGCAAATACCTCGCGGAGACGGACTTTTGCTCGCAGATGTTTGATTTTGGTTAAATTCTTAAGGTCGTTTAATCATTATGTTTTGATTAAAGGTTTTGGGTGGGCCGACTCTGTGTGTGTGTGTGTGTGTGTGTGTGTGTGTGTGGTACATGGTGAGAACAGAGTCCAAAGCGGGCTTTACTGTATCGTACCTGTAGGATTCGGTCGCCCTCTCTGATGCGTCCGTTCTTGGCGGCGATGCTGTTTGGATTAACCTAAAGATGAAGACACACAAAGCCCTTCAGCAATGGATGGATGAATACAAGAATAGCATGAACTCATGGATAAGAAACGGATCAATGATTGATGACAGGATGA